CTTGGTCATCCGGTCAGTCACATTTGCGCACAGAGACGAGTTTCAGATTACGACTGGTCAATTAAGAGGATCAGTTCAGAATAAATAACTTCATGATGAATTCTTCTTACGATGCTACTTGCGTATTGTGCTACTTCAAGGGACTGTGACCGCCCATCTGGACAATGCATGCCTGGGTTTCGGGCCAAGGATGAGGCTTCAAGTCAATCTGCCCTCTTAAAATTATAAATATTTTGGTGTCACGCTTGTTTACTGAGGAAGACCAGATCACTCTTCATCTACAGCAACAAGTGTAACATCGATTCAATAGGTTTGCAACCCGTGTCGATCGATGCTCCATGTTGCCTCACAAAGGATTAGCCTTGTTCGTGAAGTGAGGGGTTGAACGTGTAGACCGATCTCGGTTTGTGTTGCAGTAGTCCCTTCGGTTCGATTCGGTTCGGACTCGGTTTGCTGCTCCGTTGATTCTCGGAACACGCGATGCTACCGTAGCTAGCGTGGTCCCTAATGAGACCCTTGCCATCACCGTATAAGATGCGATTGGCAAGATCCATATCATTGCTGCTGGCACAAAAAAGTAAAGCGCAATATCTCGAAACCATACCAAATTCATAATGGGGAGCATGCCTGAGCTACATATTGTGATCGTTGGTGGAGGCATCGCAGGTCTCGCAACTGTAAGTCTGGCGAAATGGAGGCACTAAGAGCCCTAGCTAACTAAACACAGGCCTTTGCTCTAAGACACCCCAACAGACGCATTACTGTACTTGAGCGCTCTCGTCTACTACGCGAGGTCGGCGCTTTGATCTCGCTGCAGCCCAACGCAAGCAAGATCATTACCAAATGGAAGCTTGATCCCTTCCTTGAGAGTGCCGAGCCTCAAGCCGATCAAGGCTTCAGAATCTTTGATGCGGATGGTAACTTGGTAAGAGAGCTGCCCTTCCAGAAAGGACAGTTCGGCGCCGAGCGAATGCTGTATCACAGACAAGATTTGCAAGCAGCTCTGGGAACTGCAGCAGCAAGTAAGGAGGCCTCTGGCAATCCTGTAGATGTCCGAACAGGTTGCCAAGTCGCGAGTGTCGACTGTGAGGAAGGCATCGTGACACTAGACTCAGGCGAGAAGATTCACGGCGACCTCATTATTGGTGCAGATGGCATTCATAGTGTTGTGAGAACCGCCGTGGTGGGCGAGAGGAGAAATGCTCTACCAACCGGCACATCAGCTTATCGAATGCTGATCCCAACTGAGAATCTGGAGGGGCTCTCTCTACCCAACCAACTCTTGGATCCCCGCGAGCCCAAGACAACCATGATCATGGGCCACGATCGAAGAGTGATCATGGGACCTGGCAGAAACAGCAAGCTGTACGGTATTGTTGCTTTGGTGCCAGATGAAAAACTCGCGGAGGAGAGTTCAGATAGCTGGGTTGCCCCTGGAAGCATCGAGAAGCTGCTGGAAGCGTACTCAGATTTCCCTTCATGGCTCCATGATATCTTCAGAGCAGCTCCAGACATCGGCTTGTGGCAGCTCAGAGATATCGATCCTCTGCCACGTTGGGTGAAGGGTCGAACCATCCTGATTGGTGATGCTGCTCATGCCATGCTTCCTACTCAGGGTCAAGGTGCATCACAGAGTATCGAGGACGCAGAAGCTATCTGTGCGTTCTTGTCCAATGTCAAATCAAGGGATGAGGTTGGCGCAGCTTTGGAAAGAGTCTTTGCTGCCAGGTATGATAGAGCATCTCTGATCCAGAAGTTTAGCAGGGAGCAGGCGAAGCCAGCGACTGATGGGGTGAGCAAGAAGGTGAATCTTGATCCTGCTCAGTTTATGAGATATAATTGTGATTATAATGGAGCTGAGGACTGGGAAGAGCGTCAGAAGAAGGGAACCGCAAACCCCTGACGACATGCAAGTAGTTATAAAGAGGATTAGTGATGCCAATATTTTATTTATTATATCTAAAGGGACCTGTGACATCTTGGCCTTACATGCAAAACACGCTTTCATGTTCTTTCTTGCAAAGAAGAAGTTTCAGGAACTAACACTGAAGTGGTACATGCCTCTTCAGGTCTGGCACATATTTGGTAAGAGGAGGCACAAAAGTGGTTCTGGAAGACTAAAGCATATTGCCATTTTAGTTAGAGGCCCTATGAAGCTCACCGGAAATAAAGATAGCTGTCAAGGTACTGATAATCTATTATTATCTAATGTGGTACCCAATCAATGGTAGAAACATGTCAGGATAACACCCTCTATATAATGGAGACATATCACTGGTAGAAAGGCAGAGAGAGATTGTTCAGATTGTATCGTAATCATATGCATATTAACCACTAACCCCTCCTTCGTTCAACTAAAACAGTATCTGACGACTGGAACAAGCATTATTGATGACTCTTCGTAATTATTGCCCTTTTGAATAAGTTTACTCGGCCTTGTCCTTATCCACGCAGTACTTTCCTGTAATCTTTCGGATCTTCTTACCGAAGATGAAGACGAAGATGCCGAGGACTCCAAAAGCACCAGTCAAGCCACCAAAGACACCGAAAGCACCGTCGTAACCGTTTTGCTCAATGAAGGGAGTGATTCCGTAGCTGACGCCAAAGGACATGATACCACGGACGGCACAGATAATGACCAGGAGGGGACCAGCCCGCTGAGGATAGCTGTCCAGAAGATATGTAATAGCGACGATGTTGGCTCCGACAAAGGTGAAGTAGTAACTGTAGATAGTTAGAAATTTGAAGTTTTCATGAGATAGGAGGGACACTTACGCTGCAACTGCCCAGACATAGGTGAACCAGTGATACTTCTCAGGATAGGTGGCACCAAGACCGTACAAGACGGCAGTAAAGACTCCAACAACAATGGGGAAAGCAAGAGGAATCAGACGGATCTCAGGCTCGTGGATACCATTACGTCGGTTCGCGAACCACTTGATGAGTTTGTCCGAGCCGAAACCGAAGCAAGGGAGTGCGACGAGCGAGGTGACGATTTGACCAGCGTTGACATAGCTAGCAGATGATTGGGGCCAGTTATAAGGAGGGCTGGTGACAATAGAGCCGTAAGTCGTTCCAATAGCAATATTGACACCGAGAGTAAGACCGTTAAGGCAAAGGGCCCAGAGAACATTGGGGAAAAGCATGAGGCTAAAGGTTTGCTAGTACGTGTTAAAAGAGTCTGGACCACGAGTGGCGAATAACTTACGGTGAAAATCTCAACGACCTTGTTCCACTCAGGCTTGCCAACCCAGAGTCTCATATCGGATCGGAATGTGCGAGGGGCAAAGTTGACATAGTCGAGTTCAGGACGCTCGGTGCAGACCTCAACAATGTTCTCATCATCGGAGCTGCTGCCAGCTTGGTAGGCAGACTTGGGGCGGTAATACTTGGTCTCGGGGACGAAGAAGAAGGCTAGGACGAGGGAGACACCGGAGAGGATAGCACCAAGGCCATACCACCACTCGGGTGTGATGGCTTCGGCAATGGGGCCGGCAAAGATGACGAAGATAGCAGTCAGGATGGTCTGAATGGTCTGCTGAATCATCATGCAGGTACTTCTCTCGTGAAGGAAGAAGATTTCCTATCCAGCCATTAGACATTGTCAGATTTGGTCAAGTTGAAGGTATTACCTGTGTGATCATGGGAACAAGAGCCTCACTCTGCCCAGCGGAGAGTCCAAGGATGATACGTCCAGCAAGGTGCCACTCATAGGTGGTTGCTCCTGCACAGAGACCAGCGCTGAGGATCATGATGATTGTAGCTGCGAGGAGAACGATTCGTCGACCGACCGCGATACCGAGAGGCATGCCGATGAGGTTACCGATACCCATGAAAAGCGTAGGGTAAGTCATGAGGTGAGTGATGTCGGCGTAGCCCTTTCCAACGGCGGCGTAGCCTGGTATGTAAAAGCCTAGGAGACCTCCAAATCCTGAAACCAAAGCCAGACCAATTGTCGAGACTTGCAGTATGTGAGTTCACGTTTCTGAGAGATGCCCGATGATTGTACGTACACAGGGAAATGACAATGAGAACGAGAGCCTTTTGCCACATCTTCATGTTCAAGGGATCTAACCCGTCAGCAATTGGATACATAGTCAAAGAAGAGCATAGTCTTACCCTGAGGATCTGCAGTTGGCGTTGGGATGTAGATCGTCTTCCCTTCTATCAGTTTAACAGTTCCGCTGATCTCAATCTTCGACTTTGTGACCTGAATCACGTCAAGAGACTCCTTCGAGACGCTCTCGACGTGATTGACATCGTGTTTGGTATCCATGATGGTGGCCTTGGTAGTAGTTGTTCTCTGTTGTTTCGTTGCAGAAGATGCTGGTGAAAAACAATCCAACAAGGCTGCACCGCCAGGCTTTATAGAGAATTGGACGAGGCCAAGAGATAAACAAGACAGGAGGTGAAGTCCTTGCGCGCAATCTCATGGTCTTGGCTAGTGCAACTCCCCGCAAACCTTGTTTCCCCGCATGGGACCACATCCCGATATCTCGGTACGATTAGTGCGGTTTGTGATGATTTAGGCTAGAGGCATCACGAACCGAGAGGTTACCCCGGATCATACCCCGGATTATGGTGTTGCTACCGAACCGGATCCAGACTTTTGCGAACCCCCATGCCAAGTTCTGGGCAGACTTGGCCTATCATGAACTATTGATTGGAAATGTCACGAACATGTCGTTATTCGGAGTTATGTGTAATTGGATTTCGAACCGATGACCTTGTCAATTCTCGTCTAAGACTCCATCAATATGCAAAGATGATCCTAAGTCTCGTCAACCAATATCTTAAACTCGTCGGCCTACGTCCTAAGCATGATCAATCCCTTATATAAGAAGACAAAACTCATAAACTTTTTAGATCAGATTCAGCGTAGGCACGATGAAGGACATAAGTTTGTATGTAGAAAAAAATGTATTGCGAAAAGTCTTAGATACTGTAACAAGATGATCTAGGCTAACACTTTGCCCCATAAACCAGTCCAAATTTTCCCATTATTCATCATAAGGCTTGACACCTGCCAATCGAAGTATCTGATCCGTCACTTCAGGCTTCTCAAAAGGCTCTGTGCGGTATTTTGGGCAGATTTCGCCATTCCTCATAGGCTTCTCCTGAGCGATGCGGATGTTGCTGGAGATGATATTAGCAACGAACAACCAACAGCGAACAATTACTTACCAATGAGGCCAATGAGTTGTTCCCATGAAATTAGAAAAACAGTAGGCTTTGGCCTTGAGAGCTTCCTCTGTGGCGAATTTGCGTGGAGTCATGCACACGTATTGCAAATGCCTGATCTGGTCACCCTCGGGCAATCGAGCGTAATGCATAGTTCGAGAATCCCAGAGCACAAAGTCACCAGGGTCCATGTTAACCTTGAACATTTCACAGCCTCGATCTTCAAACCACTTGACGTCCTTCTCGCTGAAGAGGAACAAGTCCATGTACTTGATCTCAGGAGGGGGAGCATCCTCGTGGTCAGCAGACTCGCGCTTGTGAGCGAAGAACTCATTGAAGAGCTTAGAAGAACCCCTCATGAGCATGAGACCACCGTCGTTAGGACCGTTGGGGGCAAAGTTCAGCAGGCCCTGGACGGCTTGCATACTTTGAACAGGAGTTAGCAGAGTCTCGGGATAAGTTGGAATAGGCTACTCACCCCTTGCGCTCAGGATTCTGATCACAGTGGGGCCAAGGGCTCCAGTTCAGATCTTTGCGATTTGGCAAAGATACATTGAGACCGTCGAAAGAGCAGAGAAGCTCGTTTGTTCCCCAGAGCTTCTCAAAGATCTCAACAACCTTGGGCTCGGTGCGTGCTTCCCAAGCCATCTTCTCGTGTGTAGCACCATAACCATAGTACATACCACCCTTGAAGCTGACAGGGAGATGATCCGCATTCCAAGTGCTGGGGTCCTTCTCATCAAAGCCAAGCTCGAACTTCTTGAGCCACTCAATCTGCTTGTCGCAGTAGTACTGAGCTTTCTCTTTGCTGATGACGTTCTTGATCAGAACACAGCCTGTCTTGTGGAACTCATCTCTCCAGTCACCGTAGACAACATTTGGGTCGAACTCGACGAGATCCTTGGTCTCGAAGCGAGCAGCGACGGTCTGCTCCATCTCCATTGTAGTAGTGGTAGACATGATGAATTGTGATGAGAATGATACAGTGAAGTGAAGATGGAAGTGTGATGTTTGATGATGAAGCGCTAAGAATGAATTGAGGCTGAAGCTTCCTTAGTTATATCTCTGATCCGGGGACTCAGAACGCGGAGATCTGGGGTAACGAGGGCTTTCTCGGTTCGGAATCATCTTTTGCTGACTGAAGAGGCGAAAGGTAAATTCTGTCTCACTAATTTTCGGTCCGGTCTATTTCGTTTCGGTTCGGATTTGGAGACTTCTCCTCATTCAAGTCTCGACCTCGGATATTAACTCAGATGACCGTTGCAAAAGCCACTTGATAAGGGAAAACAGTTCGCCTAGCGCGGGTCTGCAGGGTCCAGACAGTGAGTAGCCAATGATAAGACAGGGAATAAGGATGATGATATCCGCCTGGGGTTGCATGATCATCCGCATTGCGTCTCCGCGATCTTCCCCTCAATCTCCCCGTGGGGTCTTTTAGTCCGACCCGAACCATGCGGATCCAGGAAATTAGTGACTCTGGCCCTCAACTCCACAGTGAATCTTGAGATAATTATTGAGGGTGAGGGGAGCTTAAAGATAGGCCTCAATCTCTGATGAAGAAATAGCCAGTCAATACCTTGTCAGTTTTACCCATTGTGTTCATTCGCAACTCATTTCGCCGAGACCATTACAAAGACATCTTTAATTGCCTTTGAAACATCCATTTTCCCCCATTACAGTATCCCTACCCCCTACCACCAACATGCCGCCTCCCGTTCAGGTTGCCTACAAGCCCCTCAACAAGCCTGAGGTTGGCGACAATGGCTACGTTGAACCCACCCCAGGAAAGACCGAGGTCCTAAAGAAGGGCTCTAGGCCTTTCGACGCAAGACCTCTTGACTCTGATGTCCGCATTGATCACGATGTTGAAATCGTTGTCCGTGACGGCTGCCGCCTCTATGTTGATATCTATCGTCCGACGGGTTCTGAAAAGGTGCCTGTCATCATTTCTTGGTCTCCTTATGGCAAGAAGTACTCGGCCATTGATATGATCTTCAATGTTTGCACCTGGGCCTGCTGTCTGACAAAAGACGATGTTAGTGGACTGGAGAAGTTTGAAGGTCTTGACCCTGCTTGGTGGGTGAACCAAGGCTATGCAATTGCGCATGTTGATGCCCGCGGAGCTGGTAACAGCGACGGCGATGCATGCTGTATGGGTGCACAAGAAGCAGAGGATGCTCACGATGTCATCGAGGGTCTGGCTAAGCTTCCTTGGTGCAACGGTAGCGTCGGCATGGCTGGCAACTCATACCTGGCCATTATGCAATGGCAAGCTGCTGCACAAAATCCCCCTTCGTTAAAGGCAATTGCGCCTTGGGAAGGATCCGGAGATATTTTCCGTGAGCAGTTCTGTCGAGGCGGCTGGTTTACTATGAGCAACTTCGATCTTATCACGACTCTCGTTATCAAGGGCCAGCATGGCGTGGAGGACTTTGCCGAAATGTATCGAAGAAGTCCTCAGGCTAATGCCTACTGGAACGATAAGCGTGTGGATTTCTCCAAGATCAACATTCCTGTTTTTATCACCGGTTCAGACCTGAGCCAGATTCACACCATGGGTGCTGTGCGTGGCTGGATGGAGCTGGGAAGTGACAAGAAATGGATCAAATGGTGTGGACACCAGGAGTGGTTTGAGCTTTACTCTGTGAAGGAAAGCTATCCTGAGCTGAAGGTCAGTTTATTTTGTTCAACGGTGAATACCACTTGCTAACATCGCCATAGAAATACTTCGACAAGTACCTCAAGGGTATTGACAACGACTGGGAGGAGACACCCCGAGTTCGCTGGACAACTCTCCAGTTTGATGAAGGAAAAGTCAAGAGCAACATCGAGCTTCCTGACTTTCCTGTCCCCGATACCGACTATCGCTCATTCTACCTGGGAGACAATGGTGCACTTCTAGATAGCGCACCATCTTCAGGTATCAAGACTTACAACTCTGAAGATCGCTGGTCCATCGCCAAGTTCCGATACACTTTCAACAAGCACACGAGAATAATCGGAATGCCCAAAGCAGAGCTATACATGAGCTGTGATGATTTGGACGACATGGTTGTCTTTGTACAAGTTCGCAAGCTCGACAAGAACGGCAAGGAGTTGAGCCACTTGCAGTTCCCTATCGAGAAAACTCCCGTGAAGTCGGTTGACGCGATGGCAGAGAAGGATCGCTCGAGCCTTACATTACACAACGGGGCTATGGGTATTCTACGAGCTTCGCAACGAAAGATTGATGAGAAACGATCGATACATCCTCAGTTCCCCTTCCACCCTCACGATGAGGTGCAGAAGGTCCCTAAGGGTGAAGTGGTCAAGCTCGACATTGGTATCTGGTGTATGGGAGTGGACTATGAGGAGGACCAGACACTTCAGGTAGATATCTTGGGACAATACCCTGGATTCACTGAACTTGCTGCCTTCTCCAAGCCAAGGCCAGAGAGTGAGAAGAACAAGGGACAGCACAAGATTCACTATGGCGGAGAGTATGCTAGCAGGGTTATTCTTCCGATTGTAAATGTTTGAAGATGGGACCATTACGAAATAGATTCTTAATCATACAGCACTGATCTGACTGATGATATCATTATAAACTTACCAGGAATTTGTGTTACATAAATTCAGGCAAGAGAGCCATAAACTTCTCACGAAGAAATGTTATTTATGATCGTGAACAAGAGCTACCTAGTGATCATTGAGAGAGCTTCCTTATCTGAGTGGACGAGTGAGGTGTCGCTAGACGGCAAATGGATCTTCTTTGGAATCGGTGTTGCGGACATACTCGGAACCATTTGCCGTGTCATCTGCGATTTCCTGTCCATACTGCTCTGCAATGAAAGCATAGATCATATCAATACCTGCTGAGATTCCAGATGAAGTCCAAATATTGCCATCGACAACCCATCTTGCCTTTCGCACCCACCTGACATCAGGTCCTTGAGTCTCAACCTATCATTGGTTAGTAAAAAAGCATCCCGAGATCGGAGCAACGTACCCAGTCAAAGGATCTCTTGTTCGAAGTTGCTTCTTTTCCATCAAGTAAGCCTGACTGGGCCACGATGGCACTGCCAGTGCAGACAGTCAGAAGAAACTTCAGTTTAGGATATCTCTCCTTGACAAATTCGCGAACTCTTTTCACATTTTCAGGATTTCGCGAGCCTCTCCCCCCTGGTACAAGCAGGACTTCAATATCGTCCGGTGCATTATCATAAGTATGAGTTGGGACAACACTTTGTCCAATACGGCCAGGCGAGTCATCTTCTAGCGTAGACACAGGATCGAGAGAAGTATGAAGGAGTGAGAGTTCGAGAGGTTGGCGCTTGGACGTGAAGTTCAGGACGTCCAAAGGCCCAAACACATCCAGGGCTTGGAATCCAGGGAACAATGCGACAGCATACTTGGTAGGAGGAGACATGCTTCAGAGTTAATTAGATGACAATCAGAGCACGGTTGACTTGAGAGAATTAGAACTATTGCGATAGTGAGGGGTAAGGAACTGGTCGTGAGCGATTTGTCAGCATCAAGAATGAGTCAATTAAGATCCGATGTCAGGCGGATACATGACTATGTTGTCAGCTTGATAGACATGCTAGGTTGATTGCTATAAAAACAAGTTGAACTTGGTGCGACTCCTGCCAACCCTTCAGTGACAACCTTAGACGACCCGTCCCTTGGTCTGTTTGATGTTGATGACGTTAATGTTCTTCCACATAACCACTCCAACAATGCCAAGAGCCCAGACTGCGGTACCGGCGATAAACAAGTACTTGTGTGCGTCTCCATATGCATGTTGAATAGCTAGTCGGGTAGGTGATCCAACAGGGAACGACAGTTGCGTGACAAGGTCCATCGCAATCATGGGCAGATTGGGGAGATCCTCCTCGGGCAGATACTCGGCAAGCTTCTTAGGGAGAACGTCTTGCCAGATAGCAGATGACACAGTCAAACCAACTGCCGATCCTATGCTGGCACACATGGAGACCAGCGCGATAGACACGGCAAAATATTGCTGTTCTTGAACAGCGGCAAGAATGGCGATCTCGGCAGTAATCATGATGGCGCCACTTCCGAAGGCAATGAAGACTTGAGACATGGCGATATACCCAATACTCTGGTCAGGCTGACGGAAATAGATCATGAGTCCAGATCCGAGGATAGATAGAGGAAGTGCCACAAAAAGTGTAACAGACTTGTAGTTTCCAGTGTAAGACATCACCATTCCGACAAAGATGGCAAATACGAAGCCACCAACGGTGTATGTCGACACGATGTAACTGGCATGTGTGATGCTGAGGTTATTGACGACCTGAAGAATAGAGCTGAAGTACATGCCCCAGCACATGTAACTGAAGAAGAGGGTGAAAGAGAGGAGACAAGCACCTGCAACTGTACGATCTTGAAGAAACCTCCAAGGGATAAAAGAGACTTTGGCGAAGAACCTTTCCCAGATACCGAAGAAGATTAGGAGTAGGATGCCAAAAACAAAGAAGCAAATGATCATGGTGGAGCCGAAGCCCTTGGCTTGCAAGGCGTAGAGATTGAACGGGAGGAGGAAAAGGGCGACTCCTGCAGAGAGACTGAGAAGACCAACGACATCAAACTCGCGAATGTAGTAGGCAAAGCCTTGGGACTCTCGCTTGGGAATGACGCCTTGCTTCTTGGCCCTCAGATAGTGATGCATAAAGAGGCCAAACAAAGGGACGGTTACAGCTGGAACAAGGATACTCTCCATGCCAAAAGCCCATCGCCAACCGGCTCCGTTCAAGAATGCAGTTGAGATTGGTCCACCTAGCCAGGCTGTAATGATATTCGGAGAGGCACAAAGAGACTGAATGAGACCTCGATGTCGAAGAGATGTCGTATCAGCGACAAACACGCTAAGACTGTAGCCAACTCCATTGATGCCGACGGTGTAAAAGACTTGCGACGCAGCGTAGGCTTCAACATTATTGCAGGCGGCCGACATGATAAGACCGAGAGTTGCAAGAGTAGCGCAGAACAGGAATCCCTGAGGGCGACCAAAGATGTCCAGAGTCTTTGCAATGCTCAGGTTGGTGACGCCTCCAATGACAGAGCTCATCACGCTGGTAGTTGGCGTGAGAGAGTGCATCGCGAAAGCGGATGTTACATATGGGATCAATGCGCTGCTAATTCCAGAGACGAGACCTTGGACGAAGTAGACGAGCCAGATGAGGACGAAAGCAACCATCAGCGCAGTTCTGGACCACGAGAGGGTAACGGCCTCAATGTTTTGTACACCATGCTGGAAGCTGACGTCTACCGCGTCGCTGACAGGGCTTTCTGTGTCTCTGTCAGGGCCGTCATGGGGATTGTCGTGTATTTGATGCAGCACTTTCGTATCGGAATCGACCGTGGAGGACATGATGGGCGAACAACAGTCGGCAGCAATGCCAAGGCTACTCGAAGATGGCTAAACTGAATGAGATTGAGGAAAGACAGACTGGAGAGGGTTGATGGATGAAGTAGGAGTAAAAGGAAGTCGTTATGGATGGAAAAGGACCAGAGGCAGAAGTGTGAAAACACAACTTCGGATTTAAAGGACCGATGGTAGTGGTGTATCGACAAAGAGACAACAGTAACTATGAATCTAACACGGGTACCTTCTCATTCTGGCCATGCCTCAACGATTTCGATTCACAAACCGACCCATGGAGCTGGTGCTGAGTTATTGGTTACATGCTGATGCCCACCAATCAAGATTTAGCTCAAATTCTCTCAAATCACCAACTCAGCGACAATTTCGTTCCAGCCACATGCTATCGTATCCACACAACCCTTGTAGAAACAATCTAGCTTCGTCTTATCGTACCGCCAAGCCTTGAAAATTAATTGCCCAGATCCTTGTGGCATGCGGTGGCATGGAGCTTGCATGTGCAGGACTAGCGCTTGGATCTGCTCGGGTTCGAGCAAGTTGTTGGCGGCGTTGTCTTAAAAACCCTCTGTATTCACTCAGAGCTAATTTGAACTGCCTGGCAGGGCTAGCTGATCCCTGTGCGTCAAGGTCTTGGCTCTTGAGATGCATAGCTCGAGCCCTTTCAATAGTGTGCAGAGAATGACCACCTAAAATTAGTCAAAAGAGCCGTTTAGACTTATCATACATTATCCTAAACTTGTCTAAGTATCTCCATCCCTTGGGATGAGATAAGCTCACCTTACCGGTGAGATTCGAGGTCAGTCAGAAGTGTAAGGCCAATCTTATCTCTCTATCATAAATATCTAGATTGCTCAGTATACCCAAACTTGTCCAACCTAGAGCTTAAGCTCGCTTATGATCCAACAGCACTGCATACTTAGTGAACTCCTCATCTCTCATGAGCATATTTAATTCCTCCGGCAAGGTTCCGAGCACGAGCTCCACGCCACCATCCTTTCTCGTTGGAGAGATGACCAAGAACCGGAATCGTCTGTGGCCACGTTCAATCTGTGGCCGCATTGCTTCCGGACTACCCCCCTCAAAGAATGAGTCAGCAAATGAGATGTCGCTTGTCTGGAACAGCATCATGTTGGAGATCATGGCGTTCATGTGCTCGAGACCCATGTTTGCTGTTGCAGGCTTGCTATAGTCCGTCATAGAACGTAGCAGAGTAAATGTGTCATGGACTACCGACGGTGTGATTCGTGTAGCTGCTTCTCGGATCACACGCGCAGTTTGTGCGATGCTGGTTTCGGGAGAGCAGAGTGTTTCAATCGGCATGACTGGACGGTTCATAATGAGCAAACTGCCCATGTAGGACGACGGTAACAGTGATGAGAAGTAAGGCCGACCGTCAATTGGCATTTCCAGAATGGACAGCTCGTCAGGCTGAAACGTCTGGTGTCTGATCTCCTTGGCCACTCTGTATCTAGATCTGATCGATGCTCGCCAGAAAAAGGCTTGCACAACATCAATCACCGATACAGAAAGACTCTTGGCTTCTGGGTCCGTGAGAGCTTCTTGCTTGAGTCTATGGATACTCTCCCCCGAAAGAAGGAAGACCGTAGTGTTCAACGATCGCTCGCTTGGAGCAGCGGGCCATACCGAACTTCCGGGGAACACAGGGGCCGGAGGAAGAGATTTCTGCGTAGCACGAGACTTTTCAGTAGGCATGATCTCGTCGTGAGAAGCTGTTCCATTGCGCAGGTTAAGGCTTATCTCGGGTGTAAATGGAAGAAAGCCCCAAGTACCGGGATCAACCTCATCAGCCGGCTTCGCATATCCCTCCTGCTCCCAAATAATCTCAGGCAAATCGTGATTGAAGCTCTCGGGGTCGAACCAGTCACATGTTGCGGTCTCATCCCCATCAAGATACCGACAGCACTCAGCCCAGACTCTGATTGCCACCATGACGCCAACAGCATCAAGGCATGTATGAATGAAGTTGGTGGCCAGAATACAGCCTCCCTCCACGAAATTGACCTGTACAACAAGTATATCCGCTGGCATTGGAGGGAAAGGCGGGCAATCCAGGACAAGGTCATCGCTGAACAAAGACGGCGAGAAACCCGCTTGACGCATCTCCTGAAATGATGGAAGGACTTGGGAGAGGTCTTTGTACACCAACTGTCTGGGCTTAGAAGAGGCTGGTAATGGGCGAGGAGGAATTGTAATTCGATATTCGCCTTTCTTGTAGCCAAACTCGTGATCCGAAGCAAGCATCATCTTCCCATCGAGCTCAGGAATGACCTCAAATGCGCGAACAAGTCCGGCTTGTAACTTGGCAAAGGCTTCCTCAAAGCTGACACCTGGCCGAAGAGCGAAGTAGAAGTTGAGCCCCATGTAGTGATTGGGGTTAACAGCATCGAACGGGTTCATCTTGGATCCCAGACGCCGCTTGCGATCAGCTACAAGCTTCTTCATCTTTTCCGACTCGATGTCCGAACATGGTGTTTCTGTCCTTGTATTTGTCTCCGTGTCACTTGCTGAATCCGCCGCAATCTTCTTGGTCTTTTCCTCTTCCATTATCTTGAGAAGTTGGACAGAAAATTCCTGTATTGTTGGATGGGCATATAGATGACGGGGGGCTAGCCTTTCCTCAAGCCCTGTAACAGCACGAATAATTCTGATGACTCGAAAAACGAGAAGAGAGTCTAGGCCAAGGTCGAAGACATCCTCGTCTGGCGGGAATTCATCAACCTCGGGTAATACAGACCGCATAACATGAGAAACCGAGTCCCTCACGGTGTCAATCGATGTAGTGTCGATCGAGAATGCCTCAAAATCCTCATCCTCGGCTTCTTCATCTCGGGAGATGTAGAAGCGCTCGATAAAGTCTGCATACAGATCTAGAGTGGCGCGGCGTTTGATGGTCCGCTTGTCCGTCCGGATGAACGGCCTGTCTGCCTCCGAGAAGGCTATATACTCTCTTTGTAGTCGAGTTTTCTGGAAGGTGGAGTTGTTTGCCCTCTCAACTATGGCCCAGATGCTATCGAACAACTCGTTGTTTCTCTCAGAAGAGTCCTTGAGCTCAATCAGAAGACCGGCTTGAGGCTTCCCGGTGCCGATCATAAGACAGCCTTCGACTGCAGGATGTGTCGTGACCAAGGCCTCTGTGTCCAAGGGAGAGATCTTGTAACCGTTGGAAAGGACAACGACATCGTCACTTCTGCCACTGAAGGCCCAGAGGTTAGGCTTCGTCGGGTGTCTGATGTACAGATCCTTGAGATTGACTGAGTCCTGATCAGGGAACGTATAGAATATGCCCTGAAATAAAGCACAGTGCTCGTTGCGGTGAACCCAGTGTTCATATACACCAGGCTGCACCTCTTTGAACTCAAATCCTGAGTAGGGATGAAAGGCAAACCAGTGCCAGTCTTCTCTTGGGACCCAAAGATTGCCGATGAAGAGTCCTTCCGTTGTGCCTGTGAGGTTGAGTACCCTAACTATTTCATTGACCTTGGAGACAATGGCGGGGCTGACGGGACCTAGAGATGATAATCAGTGGTCAGTGATTCAGTGATGGATTAGAGCTACTACTGACCACCAGAAGCACAAATGAACTTGGCCGATTTGAACTTGGCCAACACCTCTGGATTCTCGCCTAGTTCATCCACAAGTGAAGGCACCATACTCCAGATGTCAATGTTGGCGTGATCAGCGAGTGACTCGACCAATCCGAGATTGGGCAAGACACCTGGAGGACCCAGGATACAATGAAGGTTGAACAAGGAAGGCATAAGAATATCCATGATTACACCGGCGCCCTGCATGTCGGTGTTAGATTCATCGATGCAACTTGATTTAAGATACACTCACATGACTCATTGGAAAAGAAGAGTAGATCCTGTCCCCCTCATTCCAATTGTCCGTCCAAGGAGGCAACCCGCCATCACCCTCAGTGGGAGGAAGAAGTCTCACGGCATCCATCGTACCGATCAAGCCGTGGGTCCAGAAGATTGGCTTCGGTACTCCAGTGGTTCCAGAAGTATGCAATATGCAGAATGGCTCGTTGATAGCACCCTCGAAAGACTTATCAAACACGAATGGCTCCGTTGACTCGGCGTCCAGAAGCTCATCCATACTTGGGAGTTCGAGAAGTCTCATATACCTCTTCTGTAAAATTCCTTCCACGAGGGGGAGTATTGCCTGCTCGCGGGGCTTCACCCAAATACTACAATCTGAAGCATTGAGAACAGCCAACGCACCAGTAATGTTGTTCTTTGGCGAGAGGAAGAGTGCCTGTTGAAACTCATTTAACATCGCTTTGACAATAATGCGTTCTGTGACGACTTACAGCACACTCAGCTTTGACAGCACCATAGGTCAAGAGCACATGCCGAATATCATCTGAATGTGTGTGAGCTTCATGTAATTTATCTCATGAAAGTCAAGTGTTTACTTACGAGGTCCGATATAACCCAAGGCTTGGATCTTTGGCGACTTCTGGGTTACAGCATACTCCTGTGTCAGATCACCACTGAGAGCTCCATTCATTTCATTGACATGTTTATGGAGCCACCATGCTGTTTTGTCAACGGCCCGTGCAAAGGCATGTGCAGTGATATGCTGAAACGTTGGGACACCATCAGAAAAGCTGGCAATGGAGTAGACAATGCGTTCTGGATCCGCCACCGCCAGGCGATCGAGAATCTGGGGAATAAGTCTCCTCCCATATGAGGAATCAGTGTCAACCATTTTGAGTAAGATGATGAGGCCGTTTCGAGATAATTGAATGATACGTAGAGACCATACGGTTGAAAGTTCGGCAGGGTCAACCTTATCTGGGGTGTTGAATTGACGAAGTGACACGTATGGACATATTCATTTAGGGTTCCAGCCAGGACCGCGCAGTCGGTACAACAAATGAGCATTTATTCATGTGCCTCTGAGTATCAGAGTCTGCCACTACATCCCTGCTGAATGGTCTGACTAGGCTTGATGTATCCGTACGCCTATCGGAAGCCTTGCCTTGCTGCACTAAGTTCAATCATACTCTCAAATGGCTTAATAAGTTCGGGCGAAACACGATGTGAGCGGTTGACTTTAGGCTCCAGCTCCACTGCTAGCAAAGAATCCCAGTTGGGGGTGAAAGAACATGTGAGTCCTCCATCCCAGGCGACAGAAAGCTTAGAGCGGCTTTAGATGAGTTTAGCATAATGAATCCTAAATTTTGACCATTTTCTTTTTCTACACCCCTGTTCATGACGACCGTTGATTGGCATAGGGGCTGGAGAACTCGCGCCCATGCGTTCAAGCATGGTATGATCAGAAACAAACTCAATCTCGCTCACAAAAAAGTTTCTTTTTTCCTGTGAGCGCCACTGACCAGAAGTTCATCTACCATCCCTGCGTGAAAGTCGTCACAAAGGTAACAATCGATGATGCGACATTTGAGCACATTGTTTAGTGTCTTGATGCATGTAACTTGCTCAGTCCCCCCTGTCCACACTTGATCACCCTGGATCGTGAGCATATAATCAGCCTCAAGTGGGTACTCGGTGCGCAGTTTCTCACGGCCAGGTTGAAACCCCCTGCCGGCTATACGAGCCCCTGCTCGTCGAATCACAGACTCAACTCAGTTGAGGTTCCTGCAGCTTGTCACTTGAGTACATACCCCGACACCCGAGTATCGTCAGATCGGTCGAATCCTTTGTCTGAATTGGTCATCACGACTTGCTCCTGGTGCTGAGACTTGACCTTGCACATGTTCGGCTTCATATTTAATATCCCTGGGAACTTGTAGTTGGGTTCAAACTTCGACCGTTTTGCATATTTTCAACGCGAATCCAACATATCAAGGAAAAGTGGTTCATCTTGAAACCCAACACGGATGCCGTCCTACCTCGACGCATCTTAGTCTCAAGACATACTCCATCTCCATGCAGATCATACCGTCGTATCCTTCCCTCGCGAACCAACACAGCATGACTGTGACTTCCAAATTTGTCTCGGATGCTTCCGTCCAGGAACAGCCCAACATTGCCAAATCAGGAGCAGCCTCGATGGTAAGGTCTGTTCCAGAGCAGCATGACGCAGATCCGTCTGTGCACACAATCTCCTCCATGATCCTGGATATCATCTTCGAATATGCCTTGAATAAATTCAGCGACAGCAAAGAAAGGCTTGAGGCTGGTAGACCTAGGTTTTTGTCCGTCGTGGGCAAGTTCGTGGCTACTGGTACGAGAGTTGAGATGTGTCTACCAGCATTTCCCTTCAAATCGGCGAACAAAGCCTACAAAGTGTTTGGCATACTACCCGACAAAGCGGAAGAGATTGCGTTGGATCGGCTGAATACTATGTGTATCCGCATTGAAGAGATCTACCAGCCTGGCGCTCAATGCACTATCATCTCAGACGGCGTGGTTTACAACGATCTGTTGAGCATATCGGATCGCGACACCTGGGCCTATGGACAAGCACTTCGAGAGTTAGCTTCGATGAAAGCCTTGCAATACATATCCTTTTCCAGGATCCGAGACTTGGTCGACCTTCCACTCCCAGCTGAGATGCAAGAGATCGCCTATGTCGCCAATGCGACCAATTTCCGCCGAGCCCTTCTCAACCACTTTGGTAAAGACGATATCGACATTGACAAAGAGATTGAGAAAGATCCTGACACCAAGCTGACATACCTTGGATATCGGCGATTCCTTGAGTCTGATCTGAAGCATATCTTTCCGGTCGGAAATGGACGAACAGCAAATGCATATCGCAGAGATGTGAGGTATCTTGCGAAGCAAATGCTAATCCGAGGTTATGTAAGTGACATGAAATATGTCTCTCTAACCATATTTATGCAGTTTCTAACTATCGCATAGGCCTTCGCCGCTGCTGTCAAACATGGCTTCCCCAACCATTTAAGACTGTCTATCCACCAGTCTACTGGTGAGCACAAGATTTCTATGAGCTTGCTCAACACTAAAACGGGCTTCACTACACCATGGCACTGTTGTGTTGCCCTGACAGCAACCGGGGAATGGACAAGTGCTCCCAAGGGAGAGTACCTGAAAGACCCAAACATGAAGATCATCCACGAGAATGGCCGACCTAGCTACTTCCAAGAGGTTGTTGCCAGGGGTGAGTCTGATCAAAAGGCGGAAACAGAGACCGGAGAGGTCAACATCAGCGAGAGTCTGAGTAATCCACAACATTCTGAGCTTCAAGAGCCAGCCAACTCGTCCCTGACAGAAGCAGAGAGAGAAAGGGTAACTGCGCTTGCAAGATTCATGATGTCAGCAGACTTCAAGCACAATGGCGAAATTGTGAAGTCAGGTTATACATCTACAGACAGGGTCCTAGACTGTAACTCAAACGAGCTCAACACAGTGGCATGGCTCAAAGAGCTTATATATGCCGCGGCCAAAGACACTGGGGGATATAACAAAAAGGTCCCTGGTGTGACTTATCAAGACATACCAGCAAACGGCGCACAGCAACTTTCAAATACCTAAACACTTTCAGGTCACCGGCTGAGTCCGGGTTCGTGAGGTAAAAAGGTTAACTGAGATGGAAGATCATGGCCGTATAAGTAGTAATAGCCAGATTTGCCTTGTTTCCTGAATAAATCCTATGTGCCCAAAGCTCGAGATTCATCTGATTGGAGACACGCTTTTAAACAAGTCTCTCTTGAACACTGCTAATACAGCGATAAGGTTTATGTTCCAGTCTTGCATTCCACTAAGCATTCACTTGCACCCGAAAAATGATCTTTACATCACTACCAACCACTTCAATTCTTCTATGTAACTATGCTACTCATCTTCGACACCTCTCATGGCTCTCTGGAGCCAGTTGGCCTTAGCCATATTAGCCATATGAATAAGTGGCATCTTAGGATCGTCCATCATATCGAACCCATGCCAAGCTCCGGGCCAGATGTGAAGCTCACATGTTGATCCGCCGCGCCACATCTTTGTCGCATAAGCAACGGCAACATCACGGAAAACTTCACATTCCCCAGCATCGATATATGCAGCGGGTAAGTTCGAAAGATCAGTCTCTCTTGCCGGCGCTTGATAGGGTGTAACATATTCAGATCCTCGTGCATCTCCAAGGATGAGGTCCCAAATCGTACGAAGCCACACTGTGTTGGCAGGGTTGCCATACTCGAATTGCTGATCAGCCAAGCTCTCGCATCGGTCATCCAAGAGAGGCGAGTAGAGCATTTGAGCTTTGATCGGGATAGCGGGGCGCTTCCTGTCGCGAGCCATAAGGCACGTAGCAGCTGCGAGAGCACCTCCGCCGGAGACTCCAAACACGACAATGGCAGCAGGGTCGATTCCAAGACTTGTAGCATTCTCAGAGACCCAAACAAGACCCGCATAACAGTCCTCAGCTGGGCCAGGCGCGCGCGTCTCGGGAGCAAGACGGTGTTCCACGGAGACAACAACGCAATCGATCCCTTTCAGAAGATCAATCACAGACGTGACAGCAGTGAATCTATCACCACTAACCATCCCGCCACCGTGAATGTGATACAAGACTGGCCTTGGCGCCTTTGATGGCTCCTTGGGTGCGAACACTGACAAAATAACCATGTTGTTGTCGGGTCCAGGAATTGAGTGCTCTGTATGACTCAAGTGCGGATTGTCTTTGAGGACAGTCTCCGCGTTGAAGATAAAAGAACCATGGGAGCATTCTTGTTCACCACTCGCGACTCCCCGCATCAAGTTTAGGTCAAACTCTTCAGGGAATGACGCAGAGTCTAGGAGTGGTGCGAGGTCTGGGTCGTAAGTCGGACGAGGTATCTTGATCCTCGAGTCAAGCTTTGCAGCTTGGGAATATGGGAAAGGGTATGCCATGTTGATGAATAATGATAAAGATCCGTAGGAATTGATAGTGTTCAATTCTTGTCGGCCAAGTTATTTCGCAGTTGGAGATGAGCCATTCACTAAACAGAGCTGACAGGATGTCAGAAGATACGTGCAGAAAGAGGTACGTATATGCCCGCTGTGTTCTCATTTGCCAAGCAGTATGTGTCGAACACTCACCTTTCGGAAGTCGCCTTTGTTGAACGGTGAGTATCCCTTGGTTCACTTCAAATTTGAGGTGGATGCTGCCCCTGGATGAGAAGATTTGAGTCGATTTCGCCCTGTGCATGAAGCTATCGTCGATACGGTAAGAGCCATTAACTACCCCCGCCAAGTCATGGACCCTTGAAAGAGGCTTGGAGGATCGTTCTAGATTGTGTGCGCGCATAAATAAATAACTTACTCAATACAGGGTACACGATCCTCTTCTCTTCTCTTTCTTGCTCATATGCTCGCAACAGACGAGTTCGAGGTCAGGTACTTCGATATCACCACATGGCATTAATTGAGAAAAGCGATTCAATTCAGACCTCATGGCTTTCTCGCCGTTCAGTTTGCTAAAATGCTGTGACAGGAGTGATTTTCCCGTTAATAACAACTATGCAAACACGACTCAACATGACTGAACATCAATTGAAGAAGATACGGCCGCTTGGTAGACCTTTCCTCCTACCTTCATTCAAAAGCTGCTAACAAAGTTCACAGGCAAACTCGAAGAACTCTCAGCTGTGGCCCATCATGTCGACTTCTTCACCAACACTGGCCTGTCTGCATACTACGCGCCAACACAGCCCTTACCTGACTTCGATCTCGAAGAGATCGTCTACAGTGCCTTGTCACAAGTTGTTGATCAACACCCCGCTCTGTTTGCGATTCCAGTTGTAGTTGAGAAGGAGGGGCCGCATTGGGGACGACTAACCTCAATCGATCTTGAGAAAGTTGTGTCTTTTGTCGAAAGAAGTCAGCCAAGTTTCACCAGCGATCAAGCGGACGACGAGCTCGATTCACTGCTTGAACGCCAACACAACACGAGCTTCAAGGCTGGATATGGTATCCTACCCGTCTGGAGACTGGTAATACTCAAGGACCATGGTTTGAGCAAAGGATTCACGGCCTCATTCATTGCCCACCATTCGATGACTGATGGAACTGGCCTTCAGATTTTCCACGATTCGTTCCAGAAATCTCTTTGTGACATTACTTCCAGTTCCACAGGACAAAGACTTGACCGGGTCGTATTCTCGAATGATGCGCCGATTGCTCCGGCACTCGAGGAGCTTCACCCTCTGCCAATCCCAACAAACCCACCAGCATCTAATGCTGCGGAGCTAAATGAGTGGAAGGGAACTCCCATTACGTTACCGTGCAATACACGTTACAAATCACTTTCGCTGCCATCAAACACGATGGAGCGCTTTGTGCAAGACTGCAAAAAGCACAGGGTGGCACCAACAGCGGCTCTTCCGTCTCTTGTAGCAAGGTTGCTGTATGACAATCTTCCATTAACAGCAGAGGCTCTTACGTGCAACCTTCCAGTAAGCTTACGATCAGACCTACCACCAAAGCTAGTCGAAGGCGTCATGGGTAACTTCATCGATGCCTTCAAAATCCAGCTTCTTCGCTCCGATTTAGATCAGATTTCAGATGACTCCAGTACAGGCACTCTTGGGATCTGGAACCATGCCAAGAAGATCCAGCAAGCTACTAGAAAGTATTTCGCAAATGCTTCACCTTCTGGAGAGCTGTACGCAAATGTCGCTGCACTCAAACTCATTCCAGACATTGGCGCAGCCTTGATCGGATCAATCGGCCATCCTCGCGGGGAATCTTTTGAGGTCTCAAACCTCGGAACTTTTTCACAGGCTAAGAATTCCAAGGGAGGTACCAAACCATCATGGCATCGAGGAAAAGTGTTGCTGAGCCGATGCGCATATGCTGGAGGTGCTCCGTTGGTGATTTGCGTACTGAACAATGAGGAGTATGTTGGGTTTGGCTTTACATGGCAGGATGGTTCTATTGATGAGACCATTGTCAAGGCTGTTATGGATGGTATCAAAACATACTTCAACACCAGGGCGTAGATATCCAACAGAAATAGAGGGGAAAGAAAGGTACCGGCGATCTCAATTGCCGTGATATCGTCATTTCAGGCATAATGCTTGTACGTGGTCAATTGAAGTTGAATTGTTGCTTTGATGTCAGGCGCCAAAAGCGAATAAGATTTAGCGGCCATGGCGCTAACCCCCCAGATGCATATCCCACTGCAACAGGCGATCTTGATGCCTATGCAGGTGAGTTATGTCACTGACCATTCAGGTATCCTGGTTTCTCGTACAAATACATTCAAGATCGCACATTATCACCAATTGTGTCTGTATCCTGGATCTGTTGTCTAATATATATATATAAGGCTCGAGTCATTCCTGCTGCCTTCATGGTGTAGTCGTTATTGACTCCTCCATAGATCCAATCTCATTCACCTCGGTAGTCTCGGCTAAGAAGCACCTCCTCCTCATTCTTTTATCCCACCGGCCATGGCATAATATTATTACAATTGCTTACAATATCAGTGTACGTGTACCTCTATGTCTGAATCGGCCATGCAAACCTTATCAGTCCATGCTAAGCCAGGGTCTTAAAGGCGATGCTTGCTGAGAACCTGGTCCGTGTCCAATCGGGATCTTACTCTATTCGGTGCTCCGAAATAAGGTTTGCGGACATGATTCCCTCTTGAGCGTCCTTTTGAATGCGTTCCTGAAACGGCCATTCAAGGGGTGAAACAAAACCTTCGATTTCGGTAATTGAGCGCGGGAGACGAATTGACAAAGAAGCAGGTTTCTTAGTGCCAGTGCTTGGAATCATCAGTGACCCGTTCTGTTCTGGGATAGATTGTAATGACACCTTCTGTATCAGTCCCAATCAGGTGTTTGCTGAAACTGGGAGGGTATAAGATCGTCTTCGTCCCATCAATTCTCATACAGGTACAGTTTGATCAGCCGAGTTGTCTCCTTGGAAAATACAAACATTCATTTACTGTCATTCATTTTGATCATGACTAGATTCCAGGCGCTTACCTTAGCTGCTCTCAGTTGTCTGCATGCAACAACTGCATCAGCTTACCCACGCCAAGATGTCAATCTGCGCTCAGAATACGATTATATCATTGTTGGTGCAGGAGCTTCAGGCCTCACCGTCGCCAACCGCCTATCGGAGGACCCTGGTGCGTTCTGCCCTTGCATCGGCCCTCCATGTTTGCTGACGCCCCAACAGCCGTGACTGTCCTCGTGATTGAAGCTGGTGACTTGTAAGAGATCTGATATTTGACCTAAAAGGAAATACTGACATCCACCCAGCGATAAAAATGAAGACATCGTGACAATTCCAGGCCTTGCTGGTGGTGCTGTCGGCACAAAGTACGACTGGAATCTTACTTACCCTGCCACCGATTCTCTCAATGGCCGCAACGTCTCGATTCCTTTGGGCAAAGTCGTTGGAGGCTCAACCAAGCTTAATCGCATGGTCTACGATCGAGGTTCCAAGGCAGATTATGATCGCTGGGCTGAGTTAGGTAACAGCGATTGGCAGTGGAATACCCTGCTTCCTTATTTTAAGAAGGTTGGCGAATAGTTGGCAAAGGCATGATATCAGGACTAACTTCAATCGCAGAACGAAAAGTTCACTGGACCAACTGCCGATATCAAGAAGGAATATGGTATCACCACGGACCCTTCTGCGCATGGTTCTTCAGGTTTCATTCACTCCAGCTACTCGCCTTTCTTCTGGCCCACGACGAGTAAGTGCATCTTTTCCATATACCATCCGTAAAGCGGACCAATGCTGACAAACTTCAGAGAATCTTGTTGGGGCCACCGGTGAGCTCGACATCAACATCGCCGTCGACCAAGCCAACGGTGGCGCAATTGGAGGATACTTCTGCCCTCACAACCTCAACCCCAAGACTCTTGTTCGCTCCTCTGCACAGGACTACTATAGCGCTGTTTCTCAGCGCAAGAACCTCCAGCTTCTTCCAGGCAACCAAGTTACTCGCATTCTCACTAGCAAGAACGGAAGTTCCGTAAAGGCTACTGGTGTCCAGGTAAGCGGCCTCCCTACTATCGTAGTTGCTTACGACTTACCATCTTCCCGCAGTTCGCGAAGAACAGGAACAGCGCCAAGAGTACTGTCAAGGCAAAGAAGGAAGTCATCCTTGCGGCTGGAGCCGTTCACACCCCCCAGATCCTGCAGGTCTCTGGTATTGGTGACTCGGCTCTTCTCTCCAGCATCGATGTACCTGTCGTCGTTGATCTCCCTGCTGTCGGCCAGAACTTCCACGATCACGTTCTCCTCGCCATCGTGAACACAAGTAAGACAGTCCCTTCTCCAGTAGAGCACTGAAGACTAATTTCGTTTAGTCAATGCTCCTATTCAATCCGGCAATCTTACTAGCAACGCCACTTTCGCTGCTGAAGCGCGCGCTGAATACGATCAGCAAAAGAAGGGGCCTCTGACTTCACCTACTGGTGACTTCCTTCTCTTCCTCCCTCTCTCCAACTACACGAACTCCGCTTCGGATATTTACAAGCAGGCCGCTAGCCAGGACGGCTCCAAATTCCTCCCTTCAGGCACGCCCGCTGAGGTTGTCAAGGGCTACAAGAAGCAACAAAAGGTCCTTAACGGAAAGCTTCTTGATACCAAGTCTGCCATTCTGGAGATTATCTGGGCCGATGGAGTCTCAGTCCTTGGTCTCCAACACCCTTACTCTCGAGGCTCCGTCAAGGCCAAGTCTGCCAACATCTTCGACTATCCCGAGGCCAACCCAGAGTTTCTCAAGAACCCTCTCGATATCGCAATTCTTACCGAAGGTGTCAAGTTTGCTCGCAAGCTTTCCGGCGCACCCTCAATCAAGGCCCTGAACCCCTTTGAGATTGTGCCAGGAGTCAACGTCACAAGTGACAGTGACATTGAACAGTTCATCCGCAACAGTGCATCGACTCTGTTCCATCCCGCTGGCTCTTGCAAGCTTGGTAGCCGCAGTGAAGGTGGTGTCGTTGATGAGAAGCTCCGAGTCTACGGCATTAAGGGGCTTCGCATCGTCGATGCCAGTGTCATCCCTTTGCTTCCTGCCACGCATACTATGACGACTGTTTATGCTGTCGCTGAGAAGGTAAGTTACCCATCAATTATTCGAAACCCATCTCTAACGTAAATAGGCTGCCGACTTGATCAAGCGCGGTTGAGTGATGTTGGTACTTAGAAAGCCCAGGTGGGCAGGATTCAACGACGCGTGTTTTTTACCTTGTAGATATTCATTTGCCACTCAATGTATAGACGCTCACCAATGCTATATGCTCTGCTTGGAAGACTGTCATTGGTACTGAAGTGAAATAACGCGCTTCCACTTGCAGTCGTTTCTTTATTTTCTTATTCGCTAGAACGTCAGCGTGCTGACTTTACACAGATGCACTATGCAGATCCAAGATACTCTTGGCACCTATAAGACATGCACTCGTTTTTGACTGTGCTTATAGGACTTTGGCGACGCGTAGTCATTTACGTATCATTATCGCAAACAAGTTTCGCCAGTATATCGCAAGAGGCTGTGCTTCATTAAACGTCATTTTGATGCGACCCCTCAGTGGTGATGTTATCTTATTCGCTCCTGATATCGTCTGCTCGATTCGGGGTATTAGCGTGTGACCACGGCTAGCCACGTCAACGTCAGCATCAACGGATAAGCTCTTTTAAGTCAATTCAGCCAGCCACGTGAGAGGTACGATGATGCTGACAATATTCATCTGAGGGGTAATTTCATGAAGCAAGCATCATGAACTCAATTTTGCTCAGAACTTGATTTAATCAATAGCTACCTTAGTCAAGATGGATATCTTTGCGACTTTGCCTCCGGAGCTTATCGCGCCGGTACTCAGCAATTTACCCGACGTCAGAAGTTTATATAGCGTTGCCAAGGCGTCACCGCATATCTTCCATTTCCTGAACGGGACGTTGGGAGCCGAGGTTCTTGATGATGTCCTCGACGCATCAGCTCAGAATCTCGCGACAACGCCATGGATCCCGCACATCCTGCGCCTGGTGGCCCTCATCAGGCATTCTTCCATCGCAAATCCCCCAGCAAGAAACCTCACCACTTTTATCACAAAGTTCATCATGCCGACCTCGTTTCAGAACGCTCAAGGAGACCGCGTTCCAGATATTCAATCGAGTCCGCCATCTTGTATTCCACGCATTCGTCTTGCCCATGTGATGCGAGGTGACGATTCCTTCACGCCGAGAGAAATGTTGTTTCTCTTCCGGGAGATCAAGTTGCTTGCAGGAGAGTGCTTTGACTTCTTTCATGAAAGAATCAAAGCAACCAAGCCGCAGCATCTGACTGACAAGTGCTACCATCTTGGCACACTTCCTTGGAATCGACGACCTGATGGCCAATTATGGGGACAGCCATATGAGGTTAATACGGGCGGCGAGGCATCTTGGTATGAGATACAGAGAATTACCCTCGGCTTTTGGTGTCTCCAGCTTTGCTACGAGCTCAGTAATGCTGCTTCAGAAAAGCGACTGAACTGGGCATCCTCAGATATTGAGGCAATTCGTGACATGGGATCTGGCGAGACGTGCCTGTCGGGACTCAGGAGGTCAAGTCTATGGATTGCCCGAGAACCATTATGGGCCGCTTTGCTCTATGTCCGGCATTTGGAAGGTTGCTCAGATGAAAGTTCTTGTGTTGGTGATACTGATGTTGTGAATAAGGGTTTGAGTGTTTTCTTCAACACAGGCTTCAAACCAGTGGAGGGAAGTCACTTGCAACTCCCCCCTCCAAAGAAGAAAAGTGCAAACTTCGCATGGCCTGCTGTTATCCTGAAGCCACCCCCGTTTCCTTGCGTTGACCCAAATGATGCGTTTACTTATCACTGCCACAAAGTTCTGGTTGGATGCAAGGGTTTGAGATGGGCTGGGCCACTTTTATGTCCCAGAGGTACTCCCAGATTGAGTGAAGGTTTACTCTTCCGGCCGTTCAGGAGTTTGGGGTTTGGTATCTGGGATGATGAACGATTGGTGACAATGGAAATGCTTGATGATCCGCAGAGCAGGAGACCGAGGAGATTTCACGTTTGGTGTCAGGACCAAGTTTTCACTTGGACAAGTCTTTTGAGTAGCGAGGAGAAAGAGGAGTTGAGAGTGCACCAAGAGGCTTTGCAATTGAGGGAGGAACAGGAATTTGGTGAGTTGATTGTTGGTGCGAACTAGGATGATACCTCTCTTTGGACAGTACTATCGGGACCAGCCCATGGCGCGTTACTTGAGAATATTGAGCATTGATGCTTGTATGATAATGTTAATGAAATTGAAAGAGTCTTCTTTGAGTCATGAAAAGAAGTCTCCAAAATGTAAAAAGAAGAAACTCGGGTACAGGGAATCGAACCTTGAGCTCCATCGGGCGAGGAAGGTCCAATTATTTCTCGGGCATGAAAAATGCAAAATGGAGGCCGAGGTATTTAAAACCATCCGAAACAATGCAAAGCGAACGTAGCCGCCTACCACTCATGTCTTGAGATCATACCAGATGATGATTGAATGTTTGACAAAAGCGTTATTGCAGCTTGAGTTAGTCTAGTAACAAAAAGTCACCCCACTACCACGACCGCGTCTTAGCCTGTCACAGCCAGAAGGAAGAGGGTCAAAGGGAAGAACGACAGACTTACTGAGTTATTTAAGGAATGGATTATTAAAATTCCGGTAACACACTCATTCTTGTCACCACAGGCTCGCTCTCGACAATGTTCAATCGAGGGAAGATCTAATGCTTGTACAATCGCCATCCCTAAAAACAACATCCATAGAAGCAACGATTGTCCACCTATCATATCCCTGTATCTCATTCGCCTGCATCACGCCCATATCAAGATATAATCTTCATATACTGTCCTACAATGACCGTCTTTGATATCGACGAGGAGGACAACCTCATCCGCATGCGCCGCGGCGATCTGTACTACGCCTTTACACCCAAATTGGTAGCTGCCCGTAAGCGATGCAGGCAAGCTGTCACTCGACTCAACGCAGCCGAGGACCCAACACGCCGCGAGATGGCCGAATTCTGGAGACAGTGAGTCCAACTCTCATCGGAGGCTCACTCGTCGTTACTCACATGAGCGCAGAATAACAAACGACGACCGCCCTTTACCTCCACCTGCAGCCACAGAAGATGAGGAAGACAATGTGTTACACGAATATCCCTGGATCGAAGCACCCATCAGAATCGACTACGGCACCAATATCAAAGTCGGAAGTAATGTTTTTATCAACTTCAACTGCACAATACTTGATACATGTCAAGTCACCATCGGCTCAAGAACATTGATCGGACCAAATGTTTCATTCTTCTCTGGTACGCATCCTTTGGATCCTGAGCTGCGTAATGGCACAAACGGACCAGAACTGGGCGGTACAATCACTGTAGGTGAAGATTGCTGGATCGCGGGTAATGTGACTATTCTCCCGGGTGTCACAATCGGTGCTGGTTCCACGGTTGGTGCAGGAAGTGTCGTCACCAAGGTTTGCAGCACCTCGTTCTTTGCGTTACAGTATCTGACATTCTCCCAGGACGTGCTGCCTTATCATGTGGTTGCTGGAAATCCTGCCAAGATTCTTCGTAAGCTTGAGCGGAAGCCGAACGGAAAGCAGCAAGTATAGATCGAGGTCTTGGATGGCCTGGAGTATGATTATCAACGTAACATTGCTCTCGAAGGCGGAAGATGCTTCAAGCTCTCCTAGGAAATGAAATTAGTAGAGTAAGACAGCCATTATGTTTCAAGTTTAAACGTTAGCCCAAGACAACGGCAACGTCTATGTGCGTTATAGCTCTGGCACTATGTCTCTTATGGATCCAACAAACGTAACTCACCTTGGCGACTCCAGCTTAAAACAGGCAGCTTGATTCGCTACTACGTCAAAGTCGAAGTACTACGCATATGCATGCGATGATAAAAGACTTGATAATGGTATAATCCGAGTGCATTGCTATGAATTCTTTTCCTCGCGAAACCCATATCCGCTGCAGCGCTCTGCAGCAGTCATCAGACTTGTGCGTTCTCCCGTATTCATCGTGCCAACCGAGAGGGAATCATAAACTCAGCCGTCCTCAATCAAGAAAATGCAAGGACTTATTCTCTCCATCCACCGGAACCGCTGCCACGGCCGTAGCCACCACCACCGCCGTAGCCGCCGCCGCCGCCGTAACCACCACGGCCACCACCGCGAGCACCACCCTGGTTGGCCTCGCTGACACGGATCTGGCGACCCTCGAACCTGAAATTGTTGTGTTAGAATCATTCCCGGGTTTCATGCGGTGTTGCTGCGTGTGTGACTCACTCCTGCTCATTCATGGCATCGATAGCGGCGTTGGCCTCCTCCTGGCTGCTGAAGGTGACGAATCCGAATCCCCTTGATCGGCCAGTCTCACGGTCGGTCATGACAATCTAAAAAAATAATCTCAGCATCTCGAAACTGGAGGCGCGCGCGCGGAAGTGCTTACGGCGTCAGTGACCTCACCAAATTCGCTGAACTTGGATCGGAGAGTGTCGCTGGTTGTGGCCCAAGCGAGGCCGCTAGAGTCGTCAAATCAGCTGAAATTCATCGTAATCAATATTTGCGACTTACCCGACAAAGAGTTTGGACATGGTGAGCGACTAGTGTTTTCGAGGCGAAAATAGTGACGATTTGAAGGAATATGCAATTGTCAGACGGCGCGGTGCGTTATATAGCCCTCAAGCCACAAGTTTCCCCTCTTTCTTTTCCAGCCGCCCACGTGACTGGGGTAGACTAATGTAGCGGAAGGAGCTTGCTCTCGCGTTCCAAAAACAGTTGCCTATTATCATGACGTAGTGTCTCAGCCTCCCTATCATCGATTAGGCTTAGCTGATTATTCAATTTCCCTGATTAATTGATTTCGTTCAAGATGATGATTATTTAATTTCAGCTACGTAGAAACGCATATTTATGCCTTACTCAAATCCTATGTGACTTGCTCAAATTACGACGTTCTTAACTCAACTGTTAGAATGCTAACAGATCTTAACTCTCGTATCAGAGCAACAGAGATTGCAGTGTGGATGTCTCTCCCTTGAGTGACCTAAGATCTACGGAGCTGTACAGACCAACAGCCAATCAGATCTTGCCATTGAGAAAAAGGGTCCTGGAGCCCTTACTGATGTGGCTAGTGATAGAGGGGTCCAGCGCTAATCTGCAAACACTTCGCCACTATCTATCAGGGTGCAAAAATTGCCAGACCAAGGCTAGTGGCCGTGTACTCGCGATACGCCACCTCGGTACCCTAGAGCTGCTTCGTGGCAATTCGAGGGCGCTGCGCAACATCTTGATGATGTAAGAATAGCCTAAAGATGGCGCAATATTCAAAGTATCTGACTAATTAATTATTCTTCAACTTGGTAGAATATCAATTTACTCTAAGCAATGCGGTAGAGACTGAATTTCTGGACTACTTTAACTCCGAAAACATTCAACGGCTTCGGTGACATCCGTAGTTCACGTAGGATCCGCGAAACTTGTCGTATGCATATCACAGAAGTCCCGTGAAATCAGCATCCTTATAATCAACATCACGATCAGGCCAAGCACCGAGCTTGCTCAAAAAGTCAACAAAGCCACCTTCGCCGCCCCAATAATGCTTCATGAAATTGGTCATCATATCCGTGCCATTGAGGAGCGCACCGCTCGTCCACAGTTTTCCGTCTCTGACCCAGCGCTTGGTGACCCATTTAACCTCCGGGGCTTGTTTCCGGACAGTGTCGAGCAAAATAATCGGACCAGTTGCCGTTTTTCCGTTCAAGATACCGGCCTGGAGAGGAATGAGGATGCCGCCGCAGATGACAAGGAAAGCAGAGCATTCGTCGTAGGCTTTGCGCACGAAGGCAAGTTCAGCTTCGTTGGGAGTGTAGCGAGCGGAATTCGCACCCATGAGAACAATATCCAGTGGAGGGCAAGTATCAAAAGAGTCCTTTCCATATCAGTACAATGATAGGGGATTCAATCATCAAGTGAACATACCGTAGCCACAATCTTGATACCACTTGTCAAGATGCAGGGTGAAGAGGTCCCTTTCTCAGAGACCCAGTGAAATTCCATACCCATAGTCTCCGATTCGAGCTTGGCAGGCGCAATGCCTTCAAAGCTGCTCTTCCACGCATTCTTGGAGAGCCCGTACAAGAAATCAATAGGAGCGACGTCGAGGATCTCGGTCTCGCTAAAAACCTATGAGTATGGGTGCGTTGAGAGATTTGATTCTGCTCGCTCACCTGTTCATCAAAATGACACCGATGTGAATGGTCCTGTTGGGCTTTGCGAGGTCGAAAGAGGCGGACATATTGGTTGTTTTCGAGATGGAGTTTGTGTTGAATGGATGAGTGATTGTTGTTGCAATTCATCATGATCCATAGCGAACTGACACTTTTATAGATGGTTGCTCAACTCAGTTCCCGGCCTACGCTGGTCTTGCTGAGATTCATGACCCGGGACTTGGATCAAAACCCGCTGCAAATCGGTAAAGCAAAGTGGTACTCAACTGACATCGGAGATGCATGGTACGAGCAATTGTGTTGTTCTTGTGAACAGAGTGTTTCACTATTCCTTGCTTCGTCTCATCATTGGCCGAAAACACCATTGTCGTTTCGATAAACCGGGCCCAGCCACTTGATATATCGTAACCTCCGAGTGCAGTCGGCTCTTATAATCCGCCGCACGGTATTCAGCCGTATGGCTTGAGGGACATCAAAACAGGTGGGCTGCATTAGCCAGCGTCACCTTTAATCGGCCTGGTAGAAGCAATCTTTCTGCTTCATATGTTTACCAGAATGCTTCTTTTTGAGTATTTTATGTACCAGAAATATTTGCACTTTTCACATTGAACCACTGCGACCTGCGAGATAAGGCTGTAAGCATTTTGATTGCGACGCTATCCTCAGTATTTGATAGGCTGATCCCATGGGAACTTCGATCTTGAGTCTTGATTCGTTGGAAGCATTGTTCAATTATTGAAGGGTGATTCTTCAAAAACAATAGGCGACAAGACATCTTATTATCCTCGGAAGATATTCCGACAGTGAGAATGTGGAGCTCAAAGACAATGTTTCCTAATCGAGTTAGTCAGATCATGCACTAGTGACGCATCATGAGGGGACTAGTGGGCCTTGCAAGATTCTCTAGATGGCTCGGAAATATTTCCGACTGATATCAAGCAATTGATCAATATTTCCGAAGCAATAAGTCCTTTTCTCCTCAAATTCCCACATCAGGTTTGGCTCTTTGATTGAATAGCCGACAATAAGTATCAAGCCAAACCCAAACTTCCCGCGTGCGACTCAAGCAGCCCAATTGAGGCCTGCTTAACAAAGGCCATGATGGGATTCGGCACACGGCTCCCCCGCTTATTCGGTTATCAAGACTTGGAGTTTCTTTGCAGATCCCGAGCAGTGCAACTGAGGGGAAACATGTCACGTTGGTCATCTTGCGTATAAAAAGGCCTACAGACGGGACTGCAGGTTACGATGTCATTGCAACACAGAGAGCCATCTTTCCCCCGCTTGGACTTGATTTTCATCAGCAACCATGTCCGATCAAGTTATCTACCTCGCTATTATTATCGGCTTGTACGTGTTGTACAAGTTGGCCAATTCGACTGATCAACCAAAGATCAAGGGCATTCCTGAAATTCCTGGTGTACCACTTTTCGGAAACTTGATTCAGTTGGGAACGGACCATGCGAGAGTTGCGCAGAAATGGGCCAAGAAGTACGGACCCGTCTTTCAGACACGACTTGGAACTCAGGTAAGGCTTCATGCCGCTACTCGCATTCTGGATATGCGTTGGATATGCAATTCTGACCATCGCAGCGAGTCATCTATGTCAACTCTTATGAGGCTGTGAAGCATTTCTGGATCACTCACCAGTCTGCGCTCATCTCCCGCCCTATGTTTCACACATTCCACTCGGTTGTTTCTTCATCCCAAGGTTTCACCATCGGCACTTCACCATGGGATGAGTCTTGCAAGAACCGTCGCAAGGCTGCCGCCACTGCCCTCAACCGCCCTGCCGTTCAATCTTACATGCCAATTCTCGATCTCGAATCTCTCGTCAGCATCAAGGAACTTCTTGATGATTGCAAGGATGGAAGCAAGGACCTTGACCCATCGCCATACTTTGCTCGATTTGCGCTCAACACCTCTTTGACTTTGAACTACGGCTTCCGCATTGACGGCGATGTCAACTCTGAGCTTCTCCACGAAATCACCTATGTTGAGCGCGAGATTTCCAACTTTAGGTCGACTAGCAACAACTGGCAGGATTACGTTCCACTGCTTCGACTTTGGGGAGCGCAAAATTCATCGGCAGAGGAATTTAGAGTCCGACGTGACAAGTATTTGTCTGATCTTCTGGCGAACCTGAAGAGTAGAATCGACAACGGCACAGACAAGCCTTGCATCACTGGAAACATTCTGAAGGACCCTACCGCCAAGTTGAACGACGGTGAGTAAGACGCGTCTTATAAAAACAATTCTGCTAACGATTCAACAGCCGAGATCAAGTCTATCTGCCTCACTATGGTTTCTGCGGGTCTAGACACAGTTCCAGGTAACGTGATCATGGGCATCGCATACCTCGCAACCGAGCACGGTCAGAAGATTCAAGCCAAGGCCCTGAAGGAGATCTACAAAGTCTACCCCAACGGTGAAGCCTGGGAGCGATGCCTTGTTGAAGAGAAGGTTCCCTACGTCACAGCCCTTGTCAAGGAGATCTTGCGATTCTGGACAGTTATTCCCATCTGCCTCCCTCGGGAAAGCATCAAGGATATCCCCTACCAGGGTGCCGTGATCCCTGCAGGAACCAAGTTTTTCATGGTGAGACAGCCTTGTGCATATGGTAATGGAACATGCAGCTGATCGGAGATTTAGAACGCCTACGCCGCAGACTATGATGAATCACGATTCGCGAATCCTTATGAGTTCAAACCTGAGCGATATATCGACGACAAGGAGGTTGGAACGCCTCACTACGCTTATGGTGCTGGATCACGAATGTGCGCGGGCTCTCACCTTGCGAATCGCGAGCTTTACACAGCTTTCATCCGTCTTATCACCGCTTTCGAGATTCTGCCTCCCAAGGACAAGAAGGACTTCCCCGTCATGGACTGCATCGAATGCAACGCCAACCCTACTTCGCTGACAACGGACCCCAAGCCTTTCAAGGTTGGATTCAAGCCGCGAGATGAGGCAAAGGCTAGGGAATGGATTGCTGCTGGTGAAGAGCGAACCCAAGACATAAGGTAATGGTTCGGATAAGAGTTTAAGAGAACGGGAAGTGGGCAGTGGAAGAATTGTAAAGTTTGACAGGTGGAGATGTCAACCCTTGCATAGAGTTATCTGTTGTCTAAATGAGGCAGAGTCGTTTCGCTACCCGTTTCGTTACGAGTCATCTACACTCTACCCATGTAGTTCTCCTCAGCTACACCAATAGACGCGTCAATCCTAGCTAAATTAAACAAAATTTAAGGCTAAAAACGACTGAAATGAAACGGTTTCTCACAAGCGTGGACGATAAAGGCCGTTTCAAATATATAGACTCGGGCCCACCGTGGCTCTGTTACCTTGTTAGGGGATCTGTCCCGCGACCTGAAACCAGATCCACAGCCAATAAGAGAAAGGACAAGAAGCATTACAACTTGAGGTCTTGGATATCTCAAACAGCATAGCATTACCTCACCTGATGCTGTCTTCGCCGAACTCCACACTCGGCGAATGCAATGCCCTCATCCACAATGAAAGCGAATATTGGCCGTGCAACAATTAAGCCACCAATGCTGTCTCTCTTGTTTGCAAAACCTGTCCCGAGCACTCGGAAGCGAATTTCCGTACCCGGCGCCGGCACTTGGAGGGAGATCTATATATAATAGACTGAGATCTCACCTTCGATATGGGTTTGATCATTCCATCTTGTTTGGTCTATCTTTCTTTTTCGTATTTTCGTTCTTTACAGGCACTGGCTGCCAACATTGTCCATTCGTTTCTTTGTTTGTAGCTTCATTTTATTATTCGTACATTCTTTCCCGACGATCCTTCGATACATAGCATTCATTCTTGAAACACTGCCAACATGCGTTTCTCAACACTCCTTTCATCAGCGGCGCTGATGTACCAGGCCGTCTCGGCAGAATCTGTCGAGTACAAGGATGCCGATACAGGAATTACCTTCCAGCAATTCACCGACAAGAGCAGCAAGTTCACCTTCGGTATTGCTCTGCCCAAGAACCCCAGCACCGACTTCATCGGTCAGATGACCGTTCCCATCTCTGAGGGTTATGGATCCGTTGGTATGGGATCTACCATGACCAAGAAGCTTCTCGTTGTTGCTTGGCCCAACGATGGCAAGGTTCTTACCTCAGTTCGCCAGGCTGATGGATACACCAACCCTGCTGTTCTCGACGATGACACCGTCTCCATCAAGCCCATCGAGAAGGGCACCAAGGTCGGAGCTGACTCTTTCACCTTCACTTTCCTTTGCGAGGGCTGCATCAAGACCGATGGTACCACCTTCAAGGCTGCTGATACCAACGCCGTTCTCGGTTTCGCTATGAGCACCACCGCTCTCGACGACCCCACTGACTCTGCTGGTGCTCTCAACTACCACGGCGCTGGTTTCGGTGGCTTCTCTCTTGACACTGCCGCTGCCCAGTCCGCCGACTTCGAGACCTGGGCCAAGCTTGCTTCCGACGCCACTACTCCTGGTACCAGCCCCGGAGGCAACACTGGTGCCAACCCTGGCAACTTCACCACCATCGTCTCCAACGCTACCTACGACTACATCGTTGTTGGTGGTGGTACTGCCGGTCTCATTGTCGCTGAGCGTCTCGTCGAGTCCAAGAAGTCTGTTCTTCTTCTTGAGCAGGGCAAGGCCTCTTTCTACGAATCTGGTGGCCGCTCTACCATGGACTGGAACGATACCGTCACTCAGTATGATGTTCCATCCATGGCCTACTACCTCACCACCGCCAAAGACACTTCTGCCTACTGCACTGACACTGCCAGCATGGCTGGTTGCATTCTCGGTGGTTCAAGTGTCATCAACGCCATGATGTTTGTCCGCCCTCAGCCTGCTGACTTTGACGACAAGTGGCCTACTGGCTGGAAGTGGCAGGATGTTCAGAGCTCTGCTAACAAGCTCTACGAGCGCACTCCCGGTACCACCAGCCCTACAAAGGACGGCAAGCGAGTTGACCAGGGTGCATGGAACGTTCTGTCCAAGTTCTTCTCCGGCAACGGCTTCACCGAGGTTGATGCCATCAAGGAGCCCGGCAAGAAGCAGGCTGTCTTCACTCACCCTCCTCTGATGGTCAACGACGGTCTCCGTGCCGGTCCCGTTCGTGATTACCTCCCTCTTGCTCAGGCCAACAACAACTTCAAGCTCCAGCTCAACACCAAGGTCCTTCGTGTCATTCGCGAGGGCAAGACCGTTACTGGTATTGAGGTCCAGTCTGGTCCTTCAACCCGTCAAATCATCAACCTCAAGACCAACGGTGCCGTCATCCTTGCCGCCGGTGCTCTCGCCACCCCCCGCCTTCTCGTCAACTCTGGCATTGGTCCTGCTGAGCAGATTGAGGCCGTTGCTAGCGGAAGCCAGCGCCTCACGATGCCCGCCAAAGATCAGTGGCTCAA